TTCATGTGGACAACTTTAGGGTGCAAAACAAGATTTAAGGGCCCGACGGCGTGGCCTAGCGGCTAGGGTCTTTGTCTTGAACGCGCCGGGATCCCATGTGGGCGCTGGTTCCAATCCTGGCAGCTCCACTTCCCATCCAGCTCCCTGCTTGTGGCCTGGAAAGGCAGTTGAGGACGGCCCAAAGCTTTGGGATCCTACACCCGTGTGGGAGACCTGGACGAGGTTCCTGGCTCCTAGCTTCCGATTGGCACAGCACCAGCCATTGCAGTCACTTGGGGAGTGAATTATCGGACAGAAGATCTTCCTCTTTTTTTCTCTCCTCCTCTCTGTATATCTGACTTTGTAATAAAAATAAAATAAATCTTTTTTTATAAAAAAAAAAAAAAACACAAGATATAAGAGAATGAAAGAAAGGCCCCTTGCCATAGCAACTGGAGGGGGCTCCAAGCAAGGAAAAACCTGAGATGGTAGAAGTGGCGTGTTTTATGCACCATCTCAGGGGAGAGGGAACAAAATGAGTCACTAGAATGGCAGGGAAAAAACTCCTTCCACAGCGGCCTGCACTTTGCTCAGGAATCATAAAGGTGTGTCTGCTGGCTTCCTCCTCCCCTGCCGACAAGCTGAAGTCTCAGGCACTACCTTCCAGACCAGCAGCTCAGAGATGTGGGTGGCTTCAGGCTCTGTCTACTTGTTTTTTGTCATGACAATTCTACGAAATGGGGATTGATACGCTGATTCTGTCCCTCAAGGGGAGAACATGTTCTTGAAAGGATAAGAAATGGGGAGAAGCACAATTATACATATATATGTATGTTTTAGAATATTTATTTTTATTGTAAAGTCAGATACACAGAGAGGAGGAGAGACAGAAAGAATGATCTTCTGATCACTGATTCACTCCCCAAGCAGTTGCAACAGCCAGCGCTGCACTGACCTGAAGCCAGGAGCCAGGAACTTCTTCTAGGTCTCCCATGTGGGTGCAGGGTCCCAAGCCTTTGGGCCTTCCTTGACTGCTTTCCCAGGCCACAATCAGGGAGCTGGATGGGAAGTTGGGTGACTGGGATTAGAACTGGTACCGGAAGAAGCTCCTGGCTTCAGATCAGCTCAGCTCTGGCCATTGCAACCATTTTGGGAGTGAACTAGCACACGGAAGTTCTTTCTATCTCTCATCTGTAAATCTGACTTGCCAATAAAAATAAATAAATCTTAAAAAATAACATTTTCAATTATCTTTAGCTCAGACCTCTCCCCTGAACTCCAGATTTGTATCTAACTACCTAATTGTATCTGCGTTTGGTGATTTAATAACTCAAAGTGTATCATATCTATGTTAATCCATTAAACAATATAAATATATTTCTCAATATCCTTGAGGCTGGGCATTCCCAGAGGGCGTTGGCAGGTTCAATGTCTGGTTACTGTTTCTTTTTGCATCGGAAGAGGAACAGCCAGGACTGGAACTAGTGCCCATGTGGGATGCTGGTGTTGAAGGCAGTTGGGTTCCCTTTCTAAAACACAATGCTGGCCCCTTGCAACTCTGTCTTTCAAACAAATAAGTAAATCTTTTTTTTTTTTTTTCTGAATAGCAGAGTGACAGAAGTGGGGGAAACGAGCAGGGGTGTTCCTGCTTACATCTGCATGTTCACTCCCTAAATACCCACAACAGTGCTAAGCCGGGCAGGTGTCAGGAACCACGAACTTCTGCTAAGTGTCCTGCATGAGAGACAGTGACCCGAGTTCTTGTGCCGTTGTCTAAGGCCTGCAGACACATCAGCCAAAACCCAGTTTGGACTAGGCACTCCAGTATGTGACACAGATTGAGCGGCAGTTTCACTTGCGGGGCCACATCATTGTCTCATGTCTCCAAGGGTTCTGGGCACTCCAGTAACAGCACCGCACTGCTGACCGAGGCTTCATCATATGCTGTCCTGTCCCAGGGAACACAAAGACTCAGACTTTGGCACTCTGCAAAACTGGGTTTCTCCAAAAAAGGCATTCTCTTGCACCATTAGGCATCTCAGTCGAAGGCAGCTCCACTGGGCAGTGTTGGCTCACACTCATCACGTGTGCCCCAGTTCTCCATCACACTGCGTCTGAACGGGATTGCTCCCCTCTGTTGTGCCAACCCCGATCCACCAGAGATTTCTTTTTTCCCCCTAAGGTTTATTTAATTTTTTTGGAAAGGTGGATATACAGAGAGGAAGATCTTCCATCCTCTAATTCACTCCCCAAATGACCACAACAGCCAGAGCTGAGCCAGTCCAAAGCCAGGAGCCTCTTCCCAGGCTCCCACGTGGGTGCAGGGTCCCAAAACTTTGGGCTGTCCTTGACTGCTTTCCCAGGCCACAAGCAGGGAGCTGGATGGGAAGCGGGGCTGCCTGGATTAGAACTGGTATCCATATGGGATCCCGGTGTGTTTAAGGCGAGGAATTTAACCAACTGCTACGCTATCGTGCCAGGCCCTCATCATAGATTTCTAATGTCATTTCAGCTCCCACAAGGCACAGCGCGTCAGGCACTTCCCTTCATCCCCCACTCTCCCTTTGCAAGCATTCATTGTGTTCCAGGCAATAGCCACACTGTTTCTTTGTTCTTCTTTGAGCCAAGGATATACTTGCTCCTGCCCCAGGACTTTTTGCTGAAAGATCTTCCCTCAGGATGGCCTATTACCTTGGTTTCAGCTTGCCATTTCCCCTCTTCCTGCTTTAAGGAGTTACATATTTATTTGGATGATAGGGTAAGAGAGAGATTTCTTATCTAGTGGATCACTTTCCCAATGGCTGTGACCGGTGGAAGCTAGAAGCCTGGAAGTGTATCCGTGTCTTCCACACGGGTGGCCGGGGCCCAAGCATTTGGGCTATCTTTCAGATTTCGCAGGTGCATTAGCAGACAGATAGGAACCAGAACAGCCGGGACTCCAAACGGCATTCTGACATGTGATGCTGGAGTTGAAAGTGGTGGCTTGGCCAGCTGTGTCACAGCGCCAATCCTACTTCATCTTTTTAATCACCATCCATCACCATATATTTTATCCGTTTGTTGTGTGTTTCTCCCTGAAATAACATAATCTCCATGGTTGAGATTTTTGTCACTTTTAAAAAGAAATATATTTGTACAGTTGAAAAAGTTATACAAGACCTCCCATTTGCCCTGATATTCCCCAGATGGGTGCAATGCTAGAACTGGGACAGGTCACCACAAGCTTCACTGGAGTCTCCCACATACATGCAGGGGTGCCGGAGTCCAGCTCCAGCTGAGTTCGGAGCTCGCGAAGGGTGCGAGGATGAGGTGCAAAGAGGAAAGAGACAGACCACTAGGATTTCTTGATCATAATGGATGATGCACAAAAGCTGTCCGCTTTATTTATACAAAATCAGTCAAACTCTGGCTCAGACTTTTTACGTCATGGCCAAGTGGGTGTTTCTAAAGATAACTATGCCAGTTGTCTCACCTAAGCCTAGGATGTTATCCACCTGGCCCCGTGGTTAGGAAAAAGTCCTCAGTACACGGTGCATATCAATCAGTAACACATTCCTACCACAATCCTCATTCTACAGCTTAGTTAATCAAGGAAGGAAGGGCTTCACAGAAGGAGGGACCTAAAGATCAAAGATGGAGGGAAAGAGTAGATTCCCACTACACCTGGGGACGGAACACCCTTGATTAGCATAGGATCAAAAGGCGGAGTTAGCACCCTAAGCCCTTTGGCTAAAACAGTATCAGCAACATCAATTCCAAGCTCACATCGGTAGTAAACATTAACTCCACAGAGGCAGACAACTACAGAATTACAGTGCGGATTAAACAGATTACAGAATTCTCAGTGCGGTTGTCCGGTGTCCATGCAAGGGGAGGCGGAGCTGCATCCAGGTGTTGTGGAGACATCCGCCGGGCCCTGCCAAACAGCGGGAAGTTCCTTGCGGCCCTGCCTGCAATGGAGCAATGCTCTTCACACCTTCCTGTCTTCCACACCCATCACAGGGACCCCAGCACAGGGGTCCAAACACTTGGATAATCTTCTGTTGTTTTTCCCATGCCATTAGCAGGGAGCTGGGTTTGAAATGGGGCACCTGGGACTTGAACAGGCGCCCACATAGGATGCCAGACTACCGGGAAAACGACTTATCCCACTATGATGTTGGACCCCGTTTTTTTTCTTTCTTGTCACTTTTTACAGCTGATACATCCTTGGTGTCTGCATGGGAGGCGCTCCATAAAATGAGCCTGTGTCCCAAAGGCTCTTCCAGGGTTCGTCACTGGACTGCTTTTGACGTCTTGGGTCATGCACATGCTTTTATTTTCATATCCAACTTTGTCGGTTTTCTTTCTCTTTTTTTAAACTTACTGCAACAACTTCTGCCTCTTCAGGAATCTTTTTTTTTCTATTTCAAAGTATTTTTATTATTGCAAAAAACTTCAAATGCAGCGAGAATCCTCTCATTATTTTTCTAGATCTTAAATTCCGTGAGAGCAGACAGCCAGCCTCTGACTCAGTTCTGAGGAAAAGTGTTCAGGAAGGAACCAGCCGCTTCTCTGGCGCAGAAGTCTCCTCAGGTCGCCGGGGACCGCCCAGGAGCGTCCCGCGCACGCCGGCGTCTTCGCCCCGTCTTCCCGCGGACGAAGCACCGTGCCATCTTCACTCCGACGCCGCTACAATAGGAGGAGCCCTGGTTTCCAAAGTTTTTTCTTTTCCTGGCGGCCCCGCCCCGGCCCGAGGCCGCCTCCCGGACTAGGCCTCTGGGCCGCCGCCCGCGCGCCAGCACGCCGCCCTCCCTTCCCCCTCCGCCCTCAGAGCGGCGGTTGGTGGCGCGCGCGCCGCCTGCCCGCTTCTCCCGCCCCTTCGGCTAACGAGCGGCTTCTCGGCGCTCTGCGATTGGCTGTCCCGGAGAGCCATCTTCTGTTTACCCTTCTGATTGGCTCCCGGAACGCGCGGGAGGCGGCTCTCGATTGGCTAGGTCGGCGCGCCTGCGCGGCGGGGTTCTCGGTCGCCAGCCATTCCTGAAGGAGGAGGACTGCCGGTCAGACGGTCGTCTCGCCTGAGGCTTGGAAGGAGCGGGTCCCGGGTTTCCGGGAAAGGCGGCTGCCGCGGCCAGAAGAGGGGGAGAAAAAAAAATGAAGATCTTCGTGGGCAACGTAGACGGGGCGGATACGACGCCGGAGGAGCTGGCGGCCCTCTTCGCGCCCTACGGCACGGTCATGAGCTGCGCCGTCATGAAACAGTTCGCCTTCGTGCACATGCGCGAGAACGCGGGCGCGCTGCGCGCCATCGAGGCCCTGCACGGGCACGAGCTGCGGCCGGGGCGCGCGCTCGTGGTGGAGATGTCGCGCCCGAGGCCTCTCAACACGTGGAAGATTTTCGTGGGCAACGTGTCGGCCGCTTGCACGAGCCAGGAATTGCGCAGCCTCTTCGAGCGCCGCGGGCGCGTCATCGAGTGTGACGTGGTGAAAGGTAACGACGCGGGGGCGCGCTCGGGGCTGCGCGTGCATGTGCGTGCGTGCGTGTGCGCGCGCCCGCGCGCTGGAGGCGGGGTGGGGGCCTGTTTATTAGCCACGCCCCTTGCCCCCTGCCCCCCTCCCCGGGCGTCCGTCGCTGCGCGCGGCTGGGGAGGGGTCGGGGTCAGCAGCGATGTGTCGGCCCCGCCCCGCGGTCCGGGCATCACGCAGCAGGTGGCTCCGGGTGGCTGCGGCGGCTTTACCGGGCCGGGGGGTGGACGGGGTGGGCAGCGCGCCTTCTCCAAGGTGGTCTCGATCCCGAGCGGAGAACTGGGACGTGGACGGGCCGAGCCGAGCCGGATGCTGGAGCGAGGGGCAAGAGATGTCGCCCCTTCCCCACACTTTTCCTCTCCAGACGTCGATCGGAGCCAGGGAAGAGGGGGAAAAAAGGTGGGGGGCCGTCCTCGGGTCCCCTCACGGTGAATGCTCAGCCCCCACCCCCGCCCGGAGTGGAAGGTAACGGGCCCTCCTCGGACGTTGCTCGGGCTGGGATCTTTTCAGGATTGCCCGGCGCGGGTTCAGGAGTGGGGGCGGGGAACCCCTGTTTCTCTGCCTCACTGTTTCTCTCCCGGAATTGAGGGGCGAGCAGCCGTGGCAGCTCGGTGCTTTTCAGGCTCCAGTCGGTGTGTCTCCTCCGCCCCCACCCCCAAACCTGGCTCCATTCTGCATAGGCTGGAAACCCTAAGCTTTTGCACGTGAGAGAAACGCCCCTTCTCCCAGCCTTCACCTGCCCAGTGTGTCCCTTGCTAGCCTGGCAGAGGGCTGGGGGCATGGGCAGGGGCAAGGGAAGCTGGGCAAGAGGTCTTGGTTAAGTTCTGGCTTAACAAAGTTCCTCTGGATTGGCCAGGGAAAATCCCTTCTTTGCACCTTTTAGAGCTGACTTCCTTGTTGGGGACTTTTACAGTCCGGGTTCTTGGTCCATTAGTTCTTTCACAGTGACAAAATCTGGTGGGACAGCCCTTGTCCTTGTTTTTGGCCAGTTTCTTTACGGATTGGGACCCAGGGAGCAAGAACTTGAGCCCTGTCACCCTGGTGGGTGCCGCTTGGTAATAGGATCCCTGATCCCAGCCCCCCACGTTCCACGCATACCTACTGCTGTGGATGGAGGCGGGTGCCTGTGTCCCTCTCCCCTCCAGGATGGCACAGCATTGGACATCCAGGGATGGCCTTGTCCTGCGTGGCTCCTGCATCCCAGCGCAGTGCGGGTGGGGATGTCGCTGCTGCGCTGAGGCAGGCTGTGTGGCACTTGGGTTTTTGTGTTTGCTTAGGAGAGTGGGGAGGGTCCCAGGTTGGATGTTTGAGCAACAAGTGGATTGGGGTTGATGACTCAGAGAGTTTTGATTAATTACCAACTTCCTTTTGTGATTCTTAGAGTGGCTCTTAGTTTGGGGGCTGAGAATCTTGCATTCCAGGGGACACTGCGTTCAGTTCGTGTTGCTTTTGGATGGCAGAGAAAGCCGACAGCTTGCATTGCGTTGCGTCAGTAGGGAGTGGTGGGCAGAGCTTCATGAACTGCACCTGATTTCCAGAACTTTTGACTGGCTCCGAGAGCTACGTGTGCATTCTGTCCCTTTGTAAACATCTGGTCAGCAGAAATGCTTGACTGAAGGGAGTATGTGCAGCTGCTGTTTGTAATTAGGCTGTTGGGTAACAGTTTCTGGTATAGATGTGGGGGAGATTTTGGCCAACACAGCCTCCCTCCTGACACCTCTCTGTTTGACTTGAAGGAGGGGAGATTTTAGACGTGGGGAGTGTTTTGGAAGGGGCAGGCCTGACTCACTGAGTCAGTAGCTGCCTCACTGCCTGGGCTGAGAATTGGCACTTGGTCATCCCCGTCTTGGTTGTGTCGGTTTTGGAAAGTGTAGACGCTTGGTATTGCCCAGGACATTCAGCTCTTTTTATTTCACTGGAAGAATGTAGTTGCTTGGTTACTGTAGGAGCTTAGATATGATTGGTAAGGCAAAAAAGAAAAAGAATCTCCATAGCAACAGTGGATTGCAGTCACAGCTACAGGGTGCTCAAAGATCAGCACTTTTGGAACCATCTAGGAAGTCCAGTCAGAAGAGGAGAGAACCTTTCCCCCTTTTTTTTGCAGGCGGAACTTGCAGCTCCATAATGGTAAAGATGTCAGGGTAGGAAAATCACTTTTCTGTATTTTCTTAAGTTTGGCACTGAAAGAGCTGTGATAACACCACAGCATTGGGTCTCTGTAAAATATTTCTTGCTAGTCTCAATGCAGTACTTTAATCTCCTTTCAGAAGATTCCTTAAACTTTTTCTCCAGGGAGGCAGGTCCCTGGGCCTCCTTCAGATCTCATTTCCCTCATTGTCCCATGGCTGCTGGCTTCATGGGCATCATTTTGGCATTTCTCTGTCTGAGCTTGACTTCCCCACTCTGGTGGAGCTTAGCTGGCCTGACACTGTGTCAGCTGGGCAGCCTGGTCACAGCTGGCTTAAGAAACAGGCCCAGGAACTTCTGGATGTAATTTAGTTATAATTCTATCAGATGATTTTGGGGGACCTCATTCTATACCTAGTTCATCTTGGTGATTAGTTGAATTGTCCATGTGAACTTGATTTCCAAATATCAGTGTCTGGTCTCAATATAACTCAACAAAGTAGGAAGTCAGCAGTGGATATCCAATTGTTGTTGTAAACCCTTTATTTATTTTATTTACTTACTTATCTATTTATGTATTTATTAGCATTTTTATTTGAAAGGTAGATTTTTAGAGAGATCTTTCATCCACTGATTCACTCCCCAAATGACTGTAATAGCCAGAGCTGAGCTGAGCCAATCTGAAGCCAGGAGCCGCTCTGGGTCTCCCATGCAGGTGCAGGGTCTCAAGGCTTTGGGCCGTTTTCTACTTGCGCCCATATGGGATATCAGTGCTTGGAGGCAAAGGATTAAATTGCTCTGGTGCCACACCAGTCCCAGCCCATTGAAGTTTTTTGGAGGGTATTTTTGGTGGTTTTTTAGAATCGGGAGCTTGGACAAAGTATTCAAGGAAGTGGTACGGTTTCTTAATTCCTGACTCTGGAGATTGTCTGTCCCCCCTCGGTCCTCCCCGTCTACCTTTTAAGCTCAGCACTTTCTGCTCTTTGAGTGAGCTTTTTGTTTGCTGCTGCTTTTTCCAGGTTGTTTGGCTATTCTGAGCAAAAGCCCAGTCAGTGGGTGCTTTTAATGAAATCTTAGACCACACACTACTATTTTTAGCTTACTTTTCCCTTGAGAGGTGAGCTTGGAGGATTGGAGGACTTTTGGATTGCAGAAAGGAACATTTAATTTTTCACAGTTGGTAGGGATATGTTGAGTACTAAGTTTAGGATGGTTTGTTCGTCTTTTTAAGATTTGTTTATTTTTATTGGAAAGTCAGGAGGAGATAGAAAAAGATCTTCCATCTGTTGATTCACTCACCAAGTGGCTGCAGCAGCTGGAACTAAGCCGATCCGAAGCCAGGAGCCAGGAGCCAGGAGCTTCTTCTGGGTCTCCCACGCGGGTGCAGGGTCCCAAAGCTGTGGGCCGTCCTCAACTGCCTTCCCAGGCCACAAGCAGGGAGCTGGACGGGAAGCAGGGCAGCCAGTACGTGAATCAATGCCCATATGGGATTCTGGCACATGGAAGGTGAATATTTCACCACTTAGGCATCATGCTGGGCCCTGTTCTTTTTTTCTTGTCATCTGGAAATGTTTAAGTTTGCTTGTACAGATGCATGGCATGTGCTTATTAGAAATGAAAAATAATCCACAGGAAAATAAGCCTCTGGTTATTGTTAGGTTTGAACAATCATAGTCCCTTATTTCACAGGGCACTTCTGTCTTGAATCTTGTGAGGTTAGGTAGGATAAGTTTGTCACATGGGAAAATAAATGGTAAGTTCCTTAAGATCTTGTAAGAGTCTGTGATCTCTGGGTCTGCCCCAGCATGCCTTCTGCTGTACCATACATCCGACTTGTACTTCTGATGCATTTTTATTCCTGTTGTGAGGTTATTGACACTGTCCCCAGGCCCAGGGACATCACGCGTCCTTTAGGAGAGGGCCTCTCGACATGACATGGGACACTTGTTAGAGGTCTGAATGGCATTCTTTGCGTCTGAGAGAGTGGACCTCGCGGTTCCATTGGCAGCAGTTCCTCCAGCTGCTGTGACAGCTTGAGTTCTGGCCCTGGAGTCCTGGAAGGAGCTACAGGCCCGGCATGAGGTTAGGTGCAGGGTCTGTTTTCCACAGGCTTGTCTTGTGTTGTGACTTTGTGAGTATGGATATGATTCAGAATTTGCTCCTCCCCTTTCTCTGGCTTCCTGCTGTGTTTATAAATGAATGAACTTCGGGGTAAGCAGCCTGTGCCACCTTGAGTCAGAGTGCAGAGCCTGCTGGCTGCAGCTGCTGGGGCAAGAAACCAAATCTTTCGCACGAGCATTCGGCTCTGTCAACCAGAGTGCAAAGGTGCAGCTCCACCTCTGTCCTTCCGAGAGGAAATAGCGGAGGACCCAGGGTGGCCTGGAGAGGAACCCTGCTAGGCGGCTGTTTCCATTTCCACACCTGGAAATGGCTTGTGCAGGATCCTGGTTCTCCCCTTTCGGTCCTGAGGCACAGGCCTCGCTTACACAGGGACTTCTCAGGTAGAGCGGTGCAGCTGGAGGGTGAGGAAGAGCTGTGAGGTCTGGGTCGAATGTGAATTCTCTGAAGACTCTGCTTTCCTGCACCGTGGAGATAGCGGTCCGGGACTTTGTGGGGCATTGCAGGAGGTTCTGGTCACCAAAGTGCTTTGAAAGCGGCAATGCAAACTGCGAGCAACAGTTGAGGTCACCCTTGGTGGAATTTTTTTGTGAGCTGCTTGCTCATCAGCCCATCTTGATCTAGGCGGAAAAATGGGTCATGCCAACCCCCAAGCAGTTCTTCAGTGCTGGAGAGCTGAGTCTAAAATGTGAGCTCCAGTGTTGGTGTTTGGTGAGCTTGAGTTGACAACACTGAATAGCTGAGTACTCGGCAGCCCTTTGTGCATTCTGTCTGCTGGTTTATGCTAACAGGGCTTGTGAAGATGTTGAATCCCGTGTTTGTTTCTCTTCGTGCTTTCTCTGACCTGGGTGTTGGGTGAGGTGGAAGGGCAAAGGTGCCAGCTTGGGAGACAGAAACCTTGTTATTTGGGAGCCATGTTTTATGGTGTACTCCACTTAGTAGGGTTTTGAGGCCTGGAGTAGCGGCAACAGCTGGGTGCTGTTGATGTGTCCAATTTGGGACCCGGCAGGTAGCGTGCTCTGCCCCCCTAATTGCTAACCCTCTGTCTGCTGCTTTATCAGACTACGCGTTTGTTCACATGGAGAAGGAAGCAGATGCCAAAGCCGCCATCGCGCAGCTCAACGGCAAAGAAGTGAAGGGCAAGCGCATCAACGTGGAGCTCTCAACCAAGGGTCAGAAGAAGGGGCCTGGCCTGGCTATCCAGTCTGGGGACAAGACCAAGAAACCAGGGGCTGGGGATGCGGCATTCCCTGGAACTGGTGGCTTCTCTGCCACCTTCGACTACCAGCAGGCTTTTGGCAACAGCACTGGTGGCTTTGATGGGCAAGCCCGTCAGCCCACACCGCCTTTCTTTGGTCGCGACCGCAGCCCCCTGCGCCGTTCACCTCCCCGAGCCTCGTACGTGGCTCCTCTGACGGCCCAGCCAGCCACCTACCGGGCCCAGCCCTCAGTGTCGCTGGGAGCTGCCTACAGGGCCCAGCCCTCTGCCTCTCTGGGTGTGGGCTATCGGACTCAGCCCATGACGGCCCAGGCGGCATCCTACCGCGCTCAACCGTCTGTCTCCCTGGGGGCCCCGTACCGGGGCCAGCTGGCCAGCCCGAACTCCCAGTCAGCCGCCGCTTCTTCACTTGGCCCGTACGGAGGAGCCCAGCCCTCAGCCTCGGCCCTCTCTTCCTATGGGGGCCAGGCGGCTGCCGCGTCTTCACTCAACTCCTACGGGGCTCAGGGCTCCTCCCTTGCCTCCTACGGCAACCAGCCATCCTCTTATGGCGCCCAGGCTGCCTCTTCATATGGGGTTCGTGCAGCCGCTTCCTCCTACGGCACCCAGGGAGCAGCTTCCTCCCTTGGTTCCTACGGGGCTCAGGCAGCCTCCTACGGGGCCCCGTCTGCAGCCTCCTCCTTGGCTTACGGAGCGCAGGCAGCTTCTTACAGTGCCCAGCCCTCGGCCTCCTACAGTGCCCAGTCTGCTCCGTATGCTGCTCAGCAGACTGCTTCCTACTCTTCCCAGCCTGCTGCCTATGTGGCACAGCCTGCCACAGCTGCCGCCTATGCCAGCCAGCCAGCCGCCTACGCTGCACAAGCCACTACCCCGATGGCTGGCTCCTATGGGGCCCAGCCAGTGGTCCAGACCCAGCTGAATAGTTACGGGGCTCAAGCATCGATGGGCCTGTCAGGCTCCTATGGGGCTCAGTCGGCGGCTGCGGCCACTGGCTCCTATGGGGCCGCAGCTGCCTATGGGGCCCAGCCTTCAGCCACCCTGGCAGCACCTTACCGCACTCAGTCAGCCTCATTGGCTGCTTCCTATGCTGCCCAGCAGCATCCTCAGGCTGCTGCCTCCTACCGTGGCCAGCCGGGCAGTGCCTACGACGGGGCAGGTCAGCCGTCTGCAGCCTACCTGTCCATGTCCCAGGGGGCCGTTGCCAACGCCAACAGCACCCCGCCGCCTTATGAGCGTACCCGGCTCTCCCCACCCCGGGCCAGCTACGACGATCCCTACAAAAAGGCTGTCACCATGTCGAAAAGGTACTGTATGCCCCTCCGCCTCTGCCCCCAGCTGGGGCTTAGGGCAAGGGGCTGAGGTTGGCATGGGAGGGAAACTGGAGCCACTGGCCCCTCCCTCGGTCTTGTTTTCCTTTACTCCCTTGGGATGTCCCGAGGCTGGGAGGGGTGGCGTCTGTGAGGTCTGTGAGGTTGTCCGGTAGCCAGCATCCCGGTGGAGCATAGCACTCCAGCCTGGGATGGTGCTGGCTAATCGGGCCAAGTGAAGCGTCAGCTGTCGAGGCTAGCCCACTTGCAACGGAAGCCACCGTCTTTGGGATTGTGGCCCATAGCCTTTCCCACTGTCTCAAGGATCTTTAAACCTGTTCCATGGTTGTCCTGTTTTGGTGGGTGTGAAAGAGCAGTCCCTTTGTTACTCAACTGTCTGAAGGCAAGTTGATGAGTTGCGTCCACTCTGGGAAGTAGTGGACTTTGCTTCCATTCGCCGTTCTGTTGATAAGCAGGGTCTGTCTGTAGGGCCCATGGGTGGAGCTACTTTGTGATTTGGTAATGTAGACCAAATCCACCTCGGCCAGTTGGGAAGGGAGGACTTCAGCGGAGGGCTTGGTTTCCCACTGAGTTGGCCCGGGCTGGATTTTGTGGCCTGGATAGTTATGAGTCTTCTCACCGAAGGAGACCAACCTGTTGGATGTCAGTGTGATCACACCCTCCCTGTCCCCATTGGCGTCTCCCCCATGCCCACCTGGAGCCCTCCCCTCAATTGTCTCATTCACCAACTGTCTTCTTCTCTCGACTAGGTATGGTTCCGACCGGCGTTTAGCCGAGCTCTCTGATTACCGCCGTTTATCAGAGTCGCAGCTTTCGTTCCGCCGCTCGCCGACAAAGTCCTCGCTGGATTACCGTCGCCTGCCCGATGCTCATTCCGATTACGCACGCTATTCGGGCTCCTATAATGATTACCTGCGGGCAGCTCAGATGCACTCTGGCTACCAGCGCCGCATGTAGGGCCTTCCTGGGGATGGGGCACCGGAGGGAGGGAGGGAGGGAGAGGTAGGGTAGGGGCCAGACCCGGGTTACAGTGACTCTGGCCCACCACCTCTCCCTGGTCTGGTTTTTTATCCCCTCCACCACGTGAGCCTTCCCCAGGAGGTGGTCCTTCTGAGTGTTTGGCAGGAACCAAGTTCGTCTCTTCGTCTCAGCAGCAGATCTTGCTGCTGGCTCTGCATCTGCGGTTTTGCCCTCCACCCTGCCTCCTGGTCCCCCAGAATGGGAATTTCTTCTGTGTTTTTATTTTTTTTTCCCTGGCTCCCTTTTATTTTTGTGTGCGATGTTTAAGGTCATGTGGATGGGAGCAGCCTGCAGCCGAGGTCAGCGGCACGTTTTTCTCTTTAGATGTGAGGGGAGGCCAGGAAAGGTCTAGCCGAACCATTTCCTTTGCGCCAAACTGCCAGCAGTCCAGGGTTCCTGACTGTCCCTCTGGAGACTGTTGAGACTGAGTTCCTGTTGGGACAGTCGGTGGGTGTGTGTCCAGAACTCTGCTGACCACTGATGTGCTAGTTGATGGTGAGCGGCACAGTCCCACTTCCCCATCTCCCCAAGTAGGTGGCATTAGAAAACCTTAATTTTTTCCCCTTTTGTATGGACTACAAATAAAACTTGGGGCGATTTGCAGTTTGGAAACCTGGCTGTTATTGTCTTGATTGCACTCAGTGTCAGGGAAGACAGTTTGACGCCCAGCAGGACATGGCAGCTTGAGGGAAGGCATCTGGCAGAATCTGGCTGTGAATGGGGTGAGAGTGATTTCCTGCCCAGAGGAGTTTAGCTCATCCTTGTTCTAGCCTGCCAGCTTGGACTGGAGAGTCGAGAACAAGTGTTTTGGACATCCTTGGATCTGCACTTTGAGCACACCGGGACACAGCAACTAATGCCCGTTTTCCTCTGCCTGTACCATGTTCCCTGACTTCTCTCCAGAAACAACCTGTGCTCCAGCAGGGTGGTTCTGGGGTTTGGGTTCTCAGATCAGTGGGGGATGGGCTGCAGTGATGTTTACAAGGAACTTGTGGATACTTCTGGTGGCGGGCTCAAGTGAGTGCTGGGCTGGGATCAGCAGTCATTGTGGGGTGGGGAGGTGTCTGTGGTACGGCCCTGCAGTTGGAGAAAGGAAGGGCAGGGAGAATTGGAAACAGATGTGGAGCATTCTGGCTCTAGAGCTGGTGCCTCGCCTGTTGGACGTCACTGTGGAACGTCCTCCCTGCGTCCTGCCAGCCCTGGGTCCTTTAGGGGCTCGGCTCTTCTCACCTGACGGCTCAGGTGGGGTGCAAGCATAACCAAGTAGGGGTGCTGGGATTGGGTGAGGATTTGGAAGGTGGTTTCTGTGTTTTTATTCCTGGGTTGGGAGTTGAGCACGTGAACAAATAAAAAGACATGGAAGTCCCAAGCTGGGAAGAAATGGAGGCTTGGACTGGTTGGGTGAACAAAAGGTCTGCAGTGGGGTGCTCCTGAGGCTCCTTTGGGAAGAGGCGCTGTGGAGACTTGGCTAGAGTAAGGGAACTGCGCAAGTGTTTATGTGGCGGGCGGTTGCTGGCTGGTCATCTGCTTCCTTCATTGGCTTCATTGTGGACACTTTGCCCCAGAGTTGTGCTTTTTCTGTGCCAAGCTTGCAAAACACCACGGTGAGCTCTTATCTGGGTGCTAAAGGGGTCTCCAGGAAAAGGGGGTGGGAGGCCTTTGCTTCTGTTTCTGCTTATCGCTTTGCCTTCAGGTACTTTGCTGCTCCATTTCAGGGAAGACAAAGTTGATAGGATTTTTTGTTTCTTCTGTGTGGTTGTTACTCCACACTGTGAAGGGTGATTGCAGGGAAGGATGGTGGCCCATGTGTTTGCAGTATTTGTCATGGTGGGTTTCTGTCATTTTCCTTTCTCTCTGATAACCCCACTGTCATCCCATGGTTCCTGCAAAAACAGAGGGCCCATGTTGATATTTCCTTGCGGCCCTAACTCTTTGGAGTGACCCGGCCTAGATAATTATCACCCTTGCCCAGCTGTCATCTTTAGGTTCTGTAGCCGTTGCTGCCTCACCCCTCAGGCTTCTGGTTGGTGAAGCCAGAAGAAGCTACACAGCTAAATCATTTATCATTTTACTTTTGCTTGAAGATTGTTTTAAAATATTTCTCCCCTCTTTTTTTGTGTGTGTCTAAAGATTTATTTCATATTTATTTAATTTATGGAAAAGCAGAGGCATAGAGAAGAGAGACAGAAAGATCTTCCATCCACTGGTTCACTGCCCAAGTGGCAGAGCTGAGCTGATCTGAAGACAGGAGCCAGGAGCCTCTTCCGGGTCTCCCACATGGGTGCAGGGTCTCAAGGCTTTGGGCTGTCCTCTGTTGCTTTCCTAGTTCATAAGCAGGGAACTGGATGGGAAGTGGAGTAGCCGGGACATGAACTGTCACCCATATGGGATCCCAGCACGTGCAGGGTAAGGATTTACCCACTAGGCTATCACACTGGACTGGGCGCTTTCCCCTTTTTTATTTAAATTGTACCTACCACCTTTGTTAATCTGATATAACCTACTGTTCTTTGCTTTTAGTGGCTGTCTGTTTCCAAAGTCCTGTAACTTGGGAAAAGTTGGGTCTGGGTAAATGGGATAGACAATTTTTTTTTTTTTTTTTTTTGAGGCGGGAGGGATAAGCTTTCGGCACATCTTCAGATCCACCAGCTTCTGCAGCGCTCACCTCTACATCGTGGCCTTCGTTAAAGAAATTGTAGTTGGTTTACTCCTGGCACAAGATCACATAGTGGCTTCTAGCCTTGTCAGCCTGTTCTCTTCTGATATTTTGACCTTGTTTTAAGTTATGTTTGGGCTGGGTCTGGGCCTGTTAATCCTTTAGTAGAGCTAATAGAATCTTCCCCGAAGAACCGTGCTGGACAGGTATTCTCACTTTCTAGTTTTCCCATCTGTTAAGCTCTGACAGAGTCTGTGAAGGGACTGTTGGGCCTCCATTTTTGTCCTGGGATGCCCTGTTAAGCCAAGTAACAGGGCATGTAACAGCCCTGTAACAAGCCAAGTAACAGTAACTTGCTTTCCTAAGCCATAAGTAGGGAACTGGATGGGAAATGGGGCCACTGGGATGTCGATGCTCTAATGGGATCCTGGCATTTGCAAGGCAAGGATCTGGCCAGTCACTGAGCCATCAACACGGGGCCCAGAGGGGGGGAAAGTTTTTTTTTTTTTAGCTTTGTTTTTATTGGACAGTCACATAGACGGAGAGGAGACACAGAGAGGAAGATCTTTCGTTCAGTGATTTCACTCTTTCGTTCAATGATTTCACTCCGCTAGCAGCCACAACGGCTAGAGCTGAGCCGATCTGGAGCCAGGAGCTTCTTCCTGGTCTCACACATGGGTTCAGGGTCCCAAGGCTTTGGGCGGTCCTTGACTGCTTTCCAGGTCACAAGCAGGGAGCTGGATGGGAAGTGGGGTGACTGAGAAATATTCTTTAAGTTTAGGATCCAGCTTCAAGTCATTTAAGATACATACATATGTACAGTACCTGAAGTGCAGGGCACAGGGAGCCCAGTCCTTGGGCTGACCTTGAGAAATTTCCAGCCTGGGAAACAGGACTTTCTGAGTGAAGTAGTTACAGTTAGTAACCAGGGCTTGGCAAGTTGTAGGTCAGGAGGGGAGCCTGTGACAGTCCCCACAGGGACTTTCTAGACCTTCTGGAGATTACTTTTTAGAGATAGGATTTGACTTGAAACCTGACTTGGCACAGACTTTTAATCTACAAAACTTTAATTTTATTTGAAAGCTGAGAGAGAGCTTCCATATTCTCATTCACTCCCTAAATATCTGAAACTGAGGGCTGAGTTAGGTGAAAGCGGGAGACATTTAGCCACCCAGGTTTCCTTGGAGGATGGCAGGGACCCAAGTACTTGAGCTGTCATCAGCTGCTATGGTTTGCTTTAGCAGGAAGCAAGGTCAGGTCCCAGCGCAGCAGCCCAGGTGTTGCAGTGTGAGACACAGTGGCCACAAAGAGTCTCAACTGCTGTGCCCAGTGCCTGATGGTTTGTACAATCGGCTCCTCCCCAATTTGTGTAAGGCCTATGAGAGACATTGGTCATGTTGGGAACTCTTCATGAAGGCTTATCATTTATAAGATGGGAGTATTTATTGTATGGCTAAGCACTACTAGAAATGCTTTTCTTATATTAACCATAGCAATCTGAATGAATTAATGTGTTTATTTCTAAGCCTCCTTTGTATATAGGGAAATTGAGGCTGTCGGCTCATTAACTTTGTAAGATGACATGACTACAAAGTGCTAGGTCAAAGAATTGGACCAGCCATTTGAAATCATTCCATACTCCTGATTGAAGAGTGTATGGAAATGTCAGGCCTCATATACAGTCACTGTTCTAGATGCTAGCCGTCTCCTAGAAGAATGAACATTTTGGAAAGATGGGCATGGCCTGCTGAGCACGCAGCTGAGCAGATGTCAGATGTAGGTTGAGCGCAGCACTCTCAGGGAAGGTGTTTTTTCTTTGTTAAGGTTAATTTATTTATTTGAAAGAGTTACAGAGACAAGCAGAGATCTTCATCTGCTAGTTCACTTCCCAAATGGTTGTGTCAGTCAGGCCTGGGCCAGGCCAAAGCCAAGAGCCAGGAACTTATCCAGGTCTCCCACATGGCTGCAGAGTCCCAGGGCCTTTAGCCATCCCCTGCTGCTTTCCAAGGCTGCAAGCAGTAAGCTGGAACAGAAGTGGAGCAGCCAGGACGTGAACCGGTGGCAGGATTCCTGTACTGCAGCTGGAGGCTTAGCCCAGGGAAGTGAGTAAGACTAATTTAACCTTCAGGCTACTAGACCACATCAGTTTTGGCTCTTCATCTCTGACAATAATTTTTGTGTCCTGAGATCAGCTCTGTTTCTGTCTGAGTACAGGGAACTGCAAAGGCATAAAGGTAGGCTAAGAAAGGTGTAGCTGGCAGTACAATTGGAGGCCTGGGAAACCAACTTCATTTGGCCTGCTTGTGGTTCCTGAATGTCTAGAGAATGCTAGAATTTGAGTCCTGTCACATTTGTGGGCTGGGACATAGGCTGCTTATTAGATGTGTAAATTATATACAAGCAGTTTTCAAAGAGTTGACAGAATAAACATTTTTAACTTGATTTTTCCATAAATGTTTTGGAATATGCTAATATTTTCAATCCTATAAGGATGCACCTAATACTGTATTCATTGTTTACTCCTAAATTTGGACTTTTCCCTCATCCAACTCCTATCCCCTTTTTATTGCTTTAAAAAATAAAAAGATTTTGTACCCAGCACAGTGGCCTAGCAGCTAAAGAAAGTCCTTGCCTTGAACGTGCCGGGCTCCCACATGGGCACTGTTTCCAAGCCTGGTAGCCACACTTCCTGTCCAGCTCCCTGCTGTGGCCTGGGGGAACAGTCGAGGACGGTCCAAGGCCTTGGGACCCTGCGTGGGAGACCTGGAATAAGCTCCTGGCTCCTGGCTTCGAATTGGTTCCACTCTGGCCGTCTTAAATAAATAGAAATAATTATTTTTATTGGTAAGGCAGGCAGTTCAGATTTAGAGAGGAGGAGAGATCTGTCACTGGTTCACTCCCCAAGTAGCTGCAGTGTCCAGAGCTGAGCTGATCTCAAGTCAGTAGCTTTGTTCTGGTCTCCCACACGGTTGCAAGGTCCCCAGGCTTTGGGCCATCCTCTGTTCCTTTCCGAGGCAATGAGTAGGGACTGGATGGGAAGTGGAGAAGCCAGGCCATGAAACACTGCCAATATGGGATCCTGGTGCTTGCAAGGTGAGGATTTAGCCATTGAGTCATCCTGTTGGGCCTAAGTTCGTTTTTTAAAAAAACAGTATTTGGGCTCAGCTCAGCACAGTAGCCTAGTGGCCAAAGTCCTTTCCTTGCATGTACCACCAACATCCCATATGGTCCCGGGTTCATGTCCCAGCTGCTCTACTAAGCTTCTAGCTTTCTGCTTGTGGCCTGGGAAAGCAGTCAATAATGACCCAAAGCCTTGGGACCATGCACCCACGTAGGAGACCAGCGGATGGAGGATTTCTCTGTAAGTCTTTCCAATAAAAATAAATCAAGAAATTATGTAATTGGGAAGTCAGAGTTGGAGGGAGGAAAAGACAAAGAACAAGGAGCGATCTTCCATCCACCAGTTCATTCCTCAGAAGGCCACAACAGCTGGAGCTGAGCTGATCCAAAGCCAGGAACCAGGAACTTCTCCCATGTGAACACAGGGCCCATGGTCTTGGGTTATCTACTGATTCCTTAGGCATGTTAACAGGAAATTACAACATAAATGGAGCCGCTGGAATGGTACCATATGGAATGCTGGTACTGCAGCTGAGCAGCCATTGCGCTACGCCACCACGCTGGGCCCTCTCATTGCAAGTCTAGGCTGTCATCTATCCATTATGTGCATTATATTACTTTTGTTGAAGATGTATAGCCAGAAAATTTTATTTTTGGCTCTGACAAAATGTTTGTTATTGTTAATGGCTTTGGACATGTCATTTCTTAGGAACTTGGTGGCCTGGTGGACAAATTAAGAGTCACTAAAAAGGCACATAGGCTATGTGGTCATTCAGGCACGGTGAGTGTTAAACACTGTTCCTTCCATTCAGTATCATTCCCAGGAGGTGGCAAGGTACAGAATTTGGCTTAACATTTATTAAAGATGTGTTCTTGTTTTATTTGACATTTTTCAATCTGCTGGTTTTTCAATCCCAAAGCGTATACAAAATGGGAGTGTGCACTTCATCCATTGGTTCACTTTCCCAATGCCTGCAGCAGCTACAATTGGTCAGACAGAAGCTAGAGCACATGTCCCTGGTGGCTGACCTGTCGTGCACCACACACCACCACCTCATTGTTAAAGAAGAAAACTTAAACTTTTATTTTCTTTAAAGATTAATGTTTTTATTTATTTGAAAGGTGGAGTTAGAACGAGAGACAGATCTTCCGTCCACTGGTTCACACTCACAGAAGCCAGGAGCTTCTTTCAGGTCTGCCACATTCCTGCAGAGAGGGGCAGGGCATCCTCTCGCTTTCCCAGGGAGCTGGATCTGAAAGTGGAGCCAGAGGTACAGGTGGCTACTTAATGTGCTGTGTCACAGCACCAGACCCTTTAAGTGTCTGTAGTACTCAGTAAAAATATATTTGGGTAGGTGATCAATGAGACATCTGAGTGAAAAATCTCTACTTCAAACCTTCGTTCTGCATTTGTCAAGGTGGTGATCCAAAGATGTTAGTGCACCTGCTTTGAGACTGGAGAATTGGAAAGGATAAAGGTGAAGGCCTATGTCTTTAGTACTGATGTGCATTCATGTTCTTTTTAATTTTTTAAAAATACTTTCAGTTGAAAGGCAGATTTATAGAGAACAGAGTGAAGGATCTGCATCCACTGGTTCACTCCCCAAATGCCATAATGACTGGAAGTGTTCATCTGGAGCCCCAGAAGCCAGGAGCTTTTTCCTGGGCCTTCTGCGCGGGTGCAGGGTCCAAGCACTTTGGCCATCCTCTGCTTCTTACCCAGGCTATCAGCAGGGGGCTGGATCTGAAGTGCGCAGCTAGGACACCAGCCCATCTGGGATACTGGTATTGCAGGTGGAAAATTAGCCTTTTGAGCCATTGTGTTGGCCTCTACGTTCTTGTTCTTAACCTGCCACTGACTGAAAGTCCAGTGTCTCCCTTTTGATGACCTAGAGGTCAACTTCTGGCGTCCTTCAGTTTGTTAGATTAGTCAGCAGATGACTTGTGCCAGGCAGAGTTGTCACAGAAGGGAGCATGAGATAAGGAGAGGTTCCTACCCCTGTCAGATTGATTGAACAGAAAACAAGATGCTTAATGGAGAAATGATCTTATATAAACTTCATTGCGGCCATAATCCATGATTTTGGGATGACACAGTTTGTATAAGAATGCTGTGGTCTTAAAGCTCTTGTTACAAAGGCCAGGATATGCAAGGTGATAAAGGGAGAGGAGATAGCCTTGGAGTTAGGGGCTTGTTCTATTGGAGGGAGACCTGAAGGAGAGCTTTGGGACTTGGTTGCTTCAAGATACCAGGTGTTCTGGGCTTGTGATTGGCCTGTAGTCCACAGACACGCAGCGCCTTCAAAGTTCTTGGCCGGTTTTTTTTTGCTTTTGGACTGAATAATTCATTTATTTGCAGCAGTACTGTAGCACTCACACCCACTTCATTCCTCAGCCATAATGGTTGGGACTGAAGCCAGGAGTGGGGAGCTTGGTGCTGGCTGTCCTGGCAGGATGGCAGGGCGCCCGCTCGTGCCCTCCGCCAGCATCCGCGGGAAGCTGGAGGTGGAGCTGTGAGTGGAACAGGGTCCTGCGGTGGTGCCAGTCTGGACAGGGAAGCTGCTCCAAAACCGCTCTCCTTTCCCTACCCCGACTCGGTCTTCATCCCGTCCCCCGCGTGTCCTGCAGTGAGCAGCCCACTGCTTCCAGCAATCACCCCCTCCCCGCAGCTGCAGGCTTGACCGAGTATGTGATTATGTGCGTGGCCGAGGGGTGAGAGAAGAAAATGGCCGGCAGTGGACTCTGAACAATGGCCCTCTGATTGCCCTTTGCTAACGGGTTGAAGCCTCCAAACTTTGGCAGGTGGCGCCCAATAAAATGAACCAAACACGACCTCTGCGGCTCTAGTTCTTTCTCAGGGCGGGAGGGGAGCCAGGAGGGCCTTCACCTTGAGCGGGGCGGCCCAGGGCGGGGGTCGGGGTCCCGAGGGCTCGGGAACCGTGCGTGCAGCGTTCCCGGTCACTGGCTCGAGGGGCGGTGGTAGAAAAGGCTGCGTGGGGCGCGCACGTGGAGGTGGGAGGGGCGAGAGTGACAAACTTGGCGCCACGGAGCTCCGGGCGGCCTCGGCCGGGCCCGCCCGCTCCCCTAATGGCGGACCGCGCCTCGACGGCGCAGCGCACGCCGGTGGTCCCGCCCTCACGGCGTCCTCCCACCCAATCGGTGGCTTCGGCTTCGTGAGGCTGGTGTTCATTGGCTGTCGCGTAAAAGCTCCGCGGTTACTGACGCCTCCACCTCTTCCCGACCTCTCAGGTAATTGGCGTTCCTGGTAGCCAATCAGATAGAGGATCTCCGGGAACGCCCGCCTTATACTTGACTGGACGGCCAATCCGGCGATAGACCCACCTCCCCCCCCTTACCCAGAGTCACCGCTGCGTCCGCCGCCATTTTAGCGTTTTGTCAGAAGCGTCCGCGCGGCGACGAGGAGACCCTTGCTGGTTTTCGTGCGGTGAGAGACTCCCCAGCCCTTCTGCCGTCTCTTTGGCTCTGTTCAAGCGCCGTCTTACCCCAGCGGGCGTCGGTGGTGTCCCGGTCGGTCGCGGACTCGGCGCCGGTCCCTGAGAGCCGACGTGTGTCCTCGGCGCTGCGCGGTAAGCCCGGGCGCCCTTCCCCCACCGCGCCCCGGGAGCGCCCGCCGGCTCCTGCCGGGAGGCCTGCCCCGGGGAGGCCGCACGCGTGTCCGTGGGGCGGGGAGCGGCCAGGCGCCAGCCGCTCCGGCACCGTCCCCGCCGCGTCCGCCCCGCTCCTTCACGCCTTGGCTGGGACACCCCGAAGCGTAGCCGTTAGAAGGTCCACTCTTGCACAAGTGGCGGCTTCGGTTACTGGGAGAGGACGAGCTAATTTGTAATTTTATGCAGTAGTCTGCAATAGGCCAGAAGCTAAAACTTAATTCTCTGTGATGGTCGTAATGGTGCAGAGAGAAGCCAAGTGCCCTTGACCGTGCTGCGTCTCTCCCCTTCCATGCCTTGTTGGTGGTGTCCAGCTCTTCTGGAATCCTTTTGTTTAGAAGGGCTTCCCGGCGTGACCTCGTTACGTTCTTAGAAGTTCCCGGGTGGGCGTTAGAGTGGGCATTAGTCATTTCCACTTTCCTGTGTTGGTTGTGTGGAGTTGAGACATGGGTGGAAATAAATACCGTGGAAGGAGCTGGCTGCATTCATGGATAGCGTTCATTGGTGTGGGTCGAAGGTCTTTTGCTGGAAGCCTTGTTTGTTGTTTTTCAGGCCTTCGAGATGGTGAAGCTGTTCATCGGCAACCTGCCCCGGGAGGCCACGGAGCAGGAGATCCGCTCCCTGTTCGAGCAGTACGGGAAGGTGCTGGAATGTGACATCATCAAGAACTACGGCTTCGTGCACATCGAGGACAAGACGGCGGCCGAGGATGCCATCCGCAACCTGCACCACTACAAGCTGCACGGCGTGAACATCAACGTGGAAGCCAGCAAGAACAAGAGCAAAACATCCACTAAGTTACACGTGGGCAACATCAGTCCCACGTGCACCAACAAGGAGCTGCGGGCCAAGTTCGAGGAGTACGGGCCGGTCATCGAGTGTGACATCGTGAAAGATTATGCCTTCGTGCACATGGAGCGGGCGGAGGACGCGGTGGAGGCCATCAGGGGCCTTGATAACACAGAGTTTCAAGGTGAACCTCCTTGTGCGGGAGAGAGTTGAATGTATGCTCTGTGCAGGAAAGGGAGGGACTTGGCGCAGCTGCTGAGTGGGGGTGGGATTTGGACGCTTCACCTTAGGCAAATTAAGTCTCTTAGAAAAACTATCCTGACTTTTATTTGAAGCCCTTGAAGGTTTTTTTTGCCTATTCGTGCAGAAATCCTTTTCTCTGAAGATTTCTCTGATTCTTGTTCTCCCTCCCACCCCCGCACATTGCAGAGTGCTTGCCTCTGATCCTAGCGCCTTGGCTGAGAATCGGAGGACACTGGCCTTATTTGACTTAGGAGGATCCTGGCAAGGGCAGTAGGAGCGGAACTCCTCAGTCTCTTCCCACCCCCAGCTGTTAATTTTTCAGGAAAGGTACCTAGTGTTTAAGCTGCTGTCTTATATTGTATTATACTGTACCAAGGGCTTGCTTTTTGAGATTAAGCCACTCTGGAATTTTCAGGCTGACTTCAGGAGTTTGTGGGGTGGAAACACTGGGGTTGTATCGCAGTCATGGCATGTCTTTTCATTGATGCTTACACATCTTGGGTACTTAGAGTACTTAGGTGGGGGTGTGTTGTTTGTGCCTGGTAACCTGTGGGAACGTGCAGTCTTGATTTCAAGTCTAGCAAGCGTAGCAGATCCTGGGGTACACTTGGTGCTTGCCCAGCCCCTTGTTGTCTCCAGTGTGGAGCTGTGCTTTTTCCCTTGGCTTGAAATTAACTTCCATGAAAAGGTATTGTGTTCCCGTAACTAATAACTGTATTTGAAGGCTACATTTTGACCCTGTTGCTGTGAACAAAACACCGGCTGATCTTTTCCTGAGGAACCTCCTTGCTCAGAGGCCTTGTTGCATTTGGCATTCGTTTCCCTTCAGTTGGGTGGGACTTTGGGGCTGGAGTACTGATGATCTTCCCCCCTGTGTCACACGCATTACTCTCCCTTATTAAGAGAAGGTGGCACAGGTCTCCCAGGTCTAGTTTGCTTTCTTTTTTTTAATTGGCAAGTTGAGAATTATTTTGTCAACAACTTAATTGAGAGCAGGAGGCTGTTCCTGTAAAGGGCTGCGGGGTGATACTTAGGTTTTGGGCATTCTTCCACACTTTAACTTAATGATAGAGTAGAAAGTGTCTTTTTGGTGGTTACATGGGGAGAGCGAGGATGAGTCCGGAAGAATTTTTGCAAATCTGAGGCATTGGAACTCCAGTGCCAACCTATGATTAATCATTTTTGCTCTTTATTATAGGACAATACTGAGTCTTAAAGCATTTTGCTTTTTCACACAGGGGTTCTATTTGTATGTTTGAATGTTTATCTGGTCTTCTTTTCAGCTGCAGTGGTGGGTATGTTGATTGCCCACTTGAAGCAGACCTATCTTAAGTATTTTTAAAGATTCGTCTCTTTCTAGCATGGGACTAGACAAATCTTTACATTAAGGGTTTTCAGAAGACTTTTGACATGGTGTACTTGGTTAATTTCTTGGTTGTGTTTGCTTTCTGTGGATGTTATTAGTTACCAAAGTGCTCCCCACAGGCAAATGCCAAGAGATGCAGCTTTAATATCTTGCAACTTGGACCTACTGCACGGAATGTTTACATGGTGTTTTTGTCTTTGTACTCCCCTTTCTTCACTGTATCTCCTTGTCTCGTAGACCCTACCTTTATTTTGCAGGTAAAGTTGTGTATGGTCGGCCTCCGGTGATGGAGGCCGGTGTGTTGGCTCTCCCTTGTTCTGAGTATTTGCTTCTGTGACATCTGCATGCTGAGTTGTATCAAAGCTAGCTGCCTAGTGTTGCCGCTTAGAGTACCTTAGTAGTAAACTGGGAGGTCGTGATAGGGGAAAGGGTGCAGCTTAACTTGTTCTTCCATAAGATTTCTACTTTTATTGGATTTTCAGAAAACTTTTTTTTCCCATTCCCTGAGTACAAATTACAGTTTTCACACAGAAACACTAAGTGCATTTTCTTAGACTCTCCCAGCCTTAGTCAAGGAGGTGATGTTTTAGCCCTAAGCTGAGTCGTCAGTTGTACCACCGCCTGACGCGTGGTCCTCCACGTTGCTCAGCCCCTTTCTTCGTGATTCAGGCACTTGATGAACAGTGTGTTTTATTTGATCCTGCTAGAGGGTCGCTGAAATTGGTGTCGGTTTGTAAAGGATGATTACCGGAACAAAGAATTTAAAAGACCCAGTTGAGGGAGAAAGTTATTCTTATGTTATGTCTCCACCTCCCCAATTCGTAAATACTTTTCCTTGAAACTCGCCACATTTAGCCACAGTCATTCCAGATTTGACTTTAATGGTGATAACTTTAGTCTGTGTGGAATCGGTTGTCTTGGGGAAGATCTGACGTGTCAGGAACTTGCAGGGCATTCCTATTTATCTGCATGTTTGACATCAGGTCACTGTTTAGGTTTTTGCCCATATTTACATGACAATGAATGAGACCTTTGCTTTTTGAGTGTGAGTTGTTTATTAAGCCTAAGCCAGTGGTGACTTGAGCATTGCCAGATATCAGGTCATTACACTCGATCTGTACTCACATGCTAGGCCTTTTTATTATTTTTAAATCCTTTTGGCAGTCATGAATCCTGTTTTAGGAGTTTTCTCGTTAAAACCATTGCTGTGACCAGTGTCTGGGATCGGGGCTGGGCAATGATTAAGAGTGATAGCAACCCTTCTTGCGTCTGTTTCTTCAAGGCAAGCGGATGCACGTGCAGTTGTCCACCAGCCGGCTTAGGACTGCGCCCGGGATGGGAGACCAGAGCGGCTGCTATCGGTGCGGGAAAGAGGGGCACTGGTCCAAAGAGTGCCCGGTAGATCGTTCGGGCCGCGTGGCGGACTTGACCGAGCAGTATAATGAGCAATATGGAGCAGTGCGTACACCTTACACCATGAGCTATGGGGATTCATTATATTACAACAACGCGTACGGAGCGCTCGATGCCTACTACAAGCGCTGCCGTGCAGCCAGGTCCTATGAGGCAGTGGCGGCTGCAGCTGCCTCCGCGTATAATTACGCAGAGCAGACCCTGTCCCAGCTGCCACAAGTCCAGAGCACAGCCATGGCCAGTCACCTCACCTCCACCACTCTTGATCCCTACGATAGACACCTGTTGCCGACCTCAGGAGCTGCTGCCACAGCTGCTGCTGCTGCAGCAGCCGCTGCTGCTGTTACTGCAGCTTCCACTTCATATTACGGGCGGGATCGGAGCCCCCTGCGTCGCGCTACAGCCCCCGTCCCCACGGTTGGAGAGGGCTACGGTTACGGGCATGAGAGTGAGTTGTCCCAGGCGTCAGCGGCCGCGCGGAATTCCCTGTACGACATGGCCCGGTATGAGCGGGAGCAGTATGCGGACCGGGCGCGGTACTCAGCCTTTTAAAGCTTGAGGTGAGCGCGGTGGGGTGTCCCCGTTCTGGTTTGCCGTCCTCCTCCCCACCCCCCTGCAGCCTAAAGGGCTCCAGTTAGGCTGCCCTGCTTGCTTGCTTTTACAGGGTTAGGGTCAAGGTTACTAGCATGGCTCAGAGGCTAGGGAGAAGCCCTCACTGCTTACCTTTGACGTTCATGAATGTCCTCTGCCCTTTGGGGTATTTTTTTTTCCGAGGCTCCTGGTGATAGGGGTCAATTTGATTCCATTTGTGTCTACAAAAATAGAGACTGGTGTGCTGGTCAATCTTGGGTCACACCTGTGTGCTCTAAGTGAGCGGAACCTGGAACTCGGACATTCAGACTTCAGGTGCGCTGTTTCACAGAACCTTGGTAGAGTTTTCTGACAGAACTCCTGTGCCATGGGAAAGGTCTGGCACCATGACCTAAAGACCATCACTGCTCAGGTTTCAGTTGTCTTAAACCTCCCGGAATGGCGTCATCTTCATCTTGAAGCCTGTTTCCTTTAAGATTGATTTATTGATTTGAAGGCAGAGTTTGAAAGGGAGAGACAGTTCTGCCAGTGCTGGCTCACCCTCGCAGTGGGTACAGAATAGCAGAAGGCAAAATGGCGCCAGTGTGCTGGCGCTGCTGTGCCACAGCACCGACCCCACCCCTGCCAGGAGCTTTATAGCCATTGTTTAATGGTAAGTTGGGAACGCAGAAAAGATTACATGTCTTGTCTAATAAAGGCTGACAGACCCAAATCCATCTCTCCAGTGAGCTGAGATTCATTGCCTGAGTGTGGTCCCCATCTACATCTTTACATGTTTCTGAGAATAGCCCTTTCATTGCTTTATTTAGGTTTTTTTAAAAAATGATTTCCACATTGTTGTGTGTGTGATAATCTCATTTCTTAAATAACCACATCTATTACATTTTGTGTAATGGTCACTGGAGTCCAGTGGGAGCTCTGCCTTCGTCTTTGCCCTGCCTGTTGGAGGTGGGTACAGCTCTGAAACCAGCAGTTACACCGCAGGGCCTCTGGCTCTTTCCTCCCCCACACATTTGGAGCCTCAGTCCATTTGGCTGCACTCAGTGTATTCTCTTCTGACACTTGCCAGATTTGGGCTAACTCCTGGTGCGTTTAAAGACCTTGCCATTGATCCTTAAATGATCTGTCATCTTTTTAGGTTCGCTGCACATGACACCTGGAGTCATTGGATGGGAAATCACTGGTTGGGCTGCAAGATAGACTAAGTTACGTGCAGCTTGATGTGTCATTAACACATGCCCCCTGGCTCCTTCTGTGAGAAAGTCTCTTCTCTAGGCAGAATTGGATGTCCTCAGGTCTTAGAGCTTGTTCAGTTGATGCTGTGTTTGTCTCTAGACCTTGAGTAGTTTTAGCTTGAACCTTGGGAGCAGCTCCCAGGTTGAAACACACTGCTGTTTCACCAAGAGCTGTTGGGACCCTTTGCTTTTGTCCTGTCCTCCTGTGACAGTTGTAATCTGGATCCCAGTGTTACCAGCAAGAACACAAAAGAAGATGCACTGTATTAGACTGACCTCAGTCTGCCGTTAACTTGCCATTCGTCCTCTGGCCTCCAAGCTCTGCCCAGAGCTCACGGGACTGGGAAGGGCACGAGCACGCTGGAGAGGCCTGAGCTAGCGGTGACTGTTGATGTTCTTTGTACAGAGAAGCCCTGTGGCCCTGCTGTAAGCGCTGTGTTGTGCTCTCTTTCAGGTGGGATGTGTGGGGGCTGAAATGCGGAGCTGCGCTTGTGCATGACAACACCCTGCGTGGTACCCCATCTCCGGGACGGTCTCGGCTCTGTGCGTTCAGGCCCTCGGCAACTGTGGACCTTGATTAACCTTGCTCATAAGTTCAGACCTTCTCTTCCCTCTATTGTCCGTTTTCCTGTTCTTCAGTGCGCTGTAGTTTCCCATTCCTGTTCTGTTTTCCCAGCAGGCCTCATTGTGTGCAGAATGTGGTGGGGGGCGTGCTGTCTCCTGCCTTACCTCCTGCTCCCAGTGGGGGTTGGGTTTCGGAATGACGTTGGTGAGAAAGTGAGCCGCTCCTTGGGTCTTTATTTGGCCTAAAGGTTGGACCTATAGAGTTGGATCACTTTTTTTTTTTTCCTTTATGGTAAAATAAATGGTTTTTTACCTCAGGGTTTGTGTGCTCTGAGAGAGTTCTTGCTTGGGTTTCTTTCTGAGTTCTTTACTTGTGCACAGAAGAGACAGGGAGGGTGTAAAGTTCAGCGTGACCATGACCGCAGTTACTCTGCATTGTCCATAGCACTCGGGGTGCCAGAGGGATGGAAAGTGATGTGGAAGAAGCAGGCGGCAGTTGGGCAGTCATATTCCAATGAGTGCTACCACCACTGGTCTGCCTTTTTCCAGAATCGCCTATGTACCGGTAGTCTCTAGCCGATGGGGCTCCCCCTGCTAGAGAAGCAGCCATCACCTGCTTCTGCAGCTGCCATTGCAAACACCCAGGCAACATAGCTCGAGTTATCTCCAGGAAGAGTTTGGGAAGAAGAGCAAAAAAAATTTTTTTTTCATGTCATGGTAGGATTAAGCTGTGATTCAGTAATTTTGCTGCTTCTGTAGGGCCATAATGCCTTGTAATACTTGTACCATTTTTGTGTACCACTATCCCAAAGACCTGAAGGGGCACTGCTCGTGTGGCCTGTGTTTGGCGACTCACAGGGGATGCGGATGGGGAAAGGCCCAGCAGGGAGCAGAGCTGCTCACACAGGAGTAGCTGCTGGCTAAAATCCAGATCGCTATCAGAACACTGCTTTGATACACATATACACACTGTGTTTCTTCATCCAGACTCGACATAGTACAAGACTGCCTCGTATTGATCAAGCTTTCAGCACCTGTCCTGTGAGAGGAAAGGGGCTGGGCTTGGAGAGTCCTCAGGCGTTTATATTTCTGTCTGGCTGATGGATCTGATTTGTAGGTGGCTAGCTAGATTGGAGCAGCTTTGAATCGATGTGTGATTTCTCAGTCACTGTATGCGAGGCCCTGTACTAGGAGTGTTTTGTTCGCCATGGCTAGGTTGGTTCCTGTCTGCCGCTGCCGTGAGAGGCTTTTCTTTGAGCGCAGGCTCGGCGCTAGCTTGGCTCTTTGCATCAGTTGGACTCGGGTCTGCTGCATGCAGTTGGTAAGTATGAAAACGTGGAGTTTAACATCAGTCAAGTCAGTGTGTTTTGTTTTATTGGTTGGTTTTGTAAGAAAGCACCTACATGTTGGATATATGAAAGCACTTAAAAATTACAGAAAATAGGGTTATAGATATAATAACTATAGTTTTTATGAACAGTTGTGAAACTGATGCATGGACTTCATACATTTTGCACTTAGTTTTTTCACTGAACAGATCCTTTTTAAAAATACTTATTTGAAAGGCAGAGTTAGGGAGATAGAATGATGGCCCATCTGCTGATCGACTACCCGAATGGCCATAGTGGCTGGGATGGAGCTAGTCGAGCTCCCTGGTGCAGGGTACCAAGGATTTGGGGGCATCCTCTACTAACTCCCCCAGTCCTTTAGACTCAAGCCTGGTTACCCTATGGGTGTTTTCAGTAACTATTTGTATTTGTATTTTAGTTTAGCCAGAACAAACTGGTGCCTACATGGAATACTGGCTCTTGAAGAAGGAAGACTAGACAGACAATTGAACCTTTGTGTTAGAGCCTTTTTTTCTTAATCATGGAGGCAGAAGAGTTACAGAGGAGGGCCTGGCATGATATTTAGTGCCTAAACTCCTTGCCTTGCATGCATGTCTGTCTTCTCTCTGTAAATCTGACTTTCCAATAAAAATAAATCTAGAAAAAAAAGAATGTTTCATCATTTGGTGCACTCCCTGGATGACGAGGGCTCAGCCAGGCTGAAGCCAGGCCCCCTGGGTTTCCCCCAGGTCTCACGTGGCTGCGGCATCCTGATGGCTGAGCCGCATGTCAAATCCCAGTGCACTGTGCCGTAACACTGGCCCTGTCACACTCGTAACTTTTAGGAAGATTGATTTGAAAGAGTGATAGAAGAGAACCATGTTGCATTCACTGGTTCATCCCCTCAAGTGACTGCAACAGCTCAGGTGCTTGTGCCAGCTTCCACTGCCTCCAGGTGCACCAATGGAAACCTGTGCCAGAGTGCTGCCGCTGAACACTGTTCATGAACTTTTTGGAGAACCCCTTGTAAGTTGTGCAACCAGGTGAGCCCTCATCCCTCCCTCAGCCTTGCGATAAAGCGGGAAGGCCAGAGGAGACCATGCTTAGCTGGTGGTGAGTGGACATGAGAGCTGACCTGGCTAGCCTTGCCTTACTGCTCTGAAAGGGTAGCCAAGTCCAAGTAGGCCTGGTGCTTCTAAGAAAGGCTGGGCCAGCTGGTTTCCTTTAGTGTTGGGGAATCCAACACACTCAATTGTTGGTAATCAGATATGTAACAAAATGAGTCTTCTAAATGTCACAGTATAAAGAACGTTAATAGCACACTGGATTCTGGAGCTTCCTTTGTGTAATAAAATTATATTTCTGGAGCCCAGCACAATGGCTCAATGGTTAAATCCTTACCTGCAAGTGCTGGGATCCTAAATGGGTGCCAGATAGGGTCTCGGATGCTCCACTTCTGTCTAGGTCCCTGCCTGTAGCCTGGGAAAGCAACTGAGGAAGGTCCAAAGCCTTGGGACCCTGCACCTGCATGCAAGACCCGGAAGAAACTCCTGGTTTCAGATCAGCTCAGCTGTGCCTGTTTGGGGAGTGAACCATTGGATGCAAAATATATATTTGTCTCTCCTCTGTAGATCTGCCTTTCCAATAAAAATAAATGTTTTTTTAAAAAAAAGCCAGGGCCCAGCACTGTGGACTAGTGGCTAAAGTCCTCACTTTGCACACCCTGGGATCCCATATAGGTGCCAGTTGTAGTCTTGGTGGCCCCACTTCCTTTATTTATTACAAAGTCAGATATATAGAGAAGAGAAGAGATAGAGAGGAAGATCTTTCATCCAATGATTCACTCCCCAAGTGAGCGCAACGGTCAATACTATGCCGATCTGAAGCTGGGAACCAGGAACTTCTTCCAGGTCTCCCACATGGGTGCAGGGTCCCAAAGCTTTGGGCCGTCCTTGATACTTGTGCTTTCCCAGGCCACAAGTAGGGAGCTGGATGGGAAGTGGGGCAGCCGGGATTAGAATCGGTGCCCGAATGGGATCCTGGCGCGTTCAAGATGAGAACTTCAGCCACTAGGCCATGCCACTGGGCCCCATTCTGGCTATATTTATAAAGGGAAGAAAAATGCATTTTATCAACACACTGGAGCTGTAAAGTGCTGTTCTATTCCTGGTCCTGAAGTGGCTTGAGCATGTGCTGTCTCCCCAGTGGAAACTCCCTGTGAAGTTGGAGAAGCAGTCTGGGCGCTGTATCCCTCACCTGCACATGCTCCTCCTCCCCCGTGGAAGTGTCCCACTAAATTTTAGCATGGCTAAAATTGCATTTAATGTTTTGCTACATGTCAGATTATCCTCAGAAGCCATTCCAGTTCATATTCCTATCTGTTGGGTCGGAAAATATGTTCTTAAACCATCACTAGTGTGTTTGCTGTTTTTTTTTTTTTTCTAGCTTGACAGGTTGAAAATACGTCTTGGTCCATTTGGTGTCCAGCATCCCTTTCTACACTAAATCCTTGGGGCTCCCCCAACTGCTCTCTGGTCGGACTGCCTCCAAGTCTGGCCATAGCCCCTTGCCCCTTCCCTCTCAGCCTGGGGCGGCAGCCCTTGTGAAAGATGGGGGTATTGTCTGTGATCACTTCCAGGTCCCCCATGGACAGCTCCTTCATGTCACACAGCATCCTGCCCCAGGCCTTTCACCACAACGCAGCCTGGGGGCTCCCCTTCTCTGATGCTTCCGCTGCTGGAGCAATGCTGCTGGCCATTCTGGTGTTCTGAACCCCCTGCCGCAAGACGAGCAGGCCTGGAGTTGGTTGGCAGCAATTGGATCTGTATATTATAGGATGCCTAAACAAGGTGATTTGTAAGCAATAGATAACTTATTTCAGTTCTGAAGGCTGTTTTTTCAGGAGAGTACTAACATAGATGAGGTCTGGTGAAGGTGCCACAGGGGCAGGCTGCCCATTTCTCATTGGATTTTCACGTGTTGAGGGATGTTTTCGGGAAGCTTTGCGTACAAGAGCATGATGTATTTAAGAGCCATGTGTGTCTCTCCCTCTGTGTCTGACTCCCATCTGGTGGGGCTCAGCTAGGTCTCCTTTGTGGGTGCCAGGGAACCAAGTACTTTGAACCATCACCTGCCATATCACAGGGTGTGCATATTAAAGAGATTAGCTCTTTGTGATATGTAGTAAGTAGTTCTAAAAATTTTTCTCCTGGCTCTCCCGTCCTCCATCTTGCCCCTTCCCCTGCCCTGGCAGCCACCATCCTGCCACCATGGCAGGGGACATTTCCCTTCCACTGTTCCCCCCCTTCACCCCCACACTCAAAAAAATAAATAAAATGCGTAATGCCTCTGATGCTTTGTCACAAAGAAATTAAATGCACAGAGCCAGCAAGATGGGCCGTCCTCGATCCTGTGGCATGCAAGACGAGGACTTTAGCCACTAGTCCTTTGTGCTGAGCCCTGGCACATTCTTGCATTGCAGCAACAATAGCTGCTTTATTTTCCTGGTATCTTTAAAATATTTGACTGGACATTGCTTATTTATATTTTTAGCCTTCCTGTTTTTCCACATTTTCATCAGATTCTAACTGAGGTACCTCAGGTGGCTCAGGTTGGAGTCCTGTTAGAACCATACCAGTGGGGTAACCTAGCTTTGCAGCTTGCTTTCCTGGGACATCCCAAGCCGAGCAGTGCTTGGACTCCCCTGAGCCCTCTAGCTCATTGGTCCTGTCGCCCCTTCACAGTCTGATCTTCGTGTTACCTAACTTGAAGTCCATGGCTAGTCATTGTTGTTCCTTGGCGTGTGCCATCAGTTTCCTGGCAAGCCACCTCAGCTCCTAACTTCATACTGATTAAGTAAAACCATAAAGCAGTTACAATCCAGTTCTCCATGTATTCTCTGTCCCATGAAGCTGAACAGAAGAGCTGTGAACCTCAGTAATCTTGGTAAATCTGCCTCCAGCATCTCTAACGACATCCTGTTCCCCATTC